ACCAAATTAGTCTCACGGCATCTTGTATCGAGCTATGAATTGATTGCAAGTTTGTGAAAAAACCCGAATTGATTATGCTTTCCAATTGAGACATTATAACACTACAACTTCAAAAGCTATTGCGAAGCGAATTCATCACTGACACAAACGACATTGATTTTGCTTACTCAGCAGGAAAGCGTTTTCACTGTAGTTTACACACTTCGCTCCATGTACTACAGTATAACAATACTCTCAATACATAGTAGAAAACCCGTCATATTTCTTGATCTCTCGTTAACTGGCATGAATATTCATTTATTCCCTTAACCGCAGGTCAACGGGTTTGATATTGGTGCAATTTTATTTACATCATCAATTTACACAGATGTTACGATGAAGTTGTAGATAATTATAAGGTTTGGGATCTAACGATTTAAAAGTGGAAATCTAACGTGTATTCTATAACTGCTCAAAAATATTATATATTGAACGCATAATTTGTCTAATAATATTGCCAACCGCACGCCAGTGACGTGAAACGGTCGGTCCTCAAGTGTCTGTTACTGTTAAACCAGCGTTCTTCAGGAGACACTTATTTATGCATAGGAGCGTATTGTCTATTTTCCCTTTTCTTTCTCTTCACTGGACGATTCATTCTGTAATTTAATCTCCACTAGGTGGGAGTGTACGAAATTGTTATCCGAGATTGTATCATATATTTGTTGTCCAACGCCAACGAGTAAGTATATATTACTCTGTCATTTTGAAAGTTCCACAAAGAAGCACTATTTTACAAGAAAATCCACTTTTCATAAATATTTTGTTCACCAATCCTCTGGTCTAAAACCAATTCCAGATATGTATGATGACAATAATTTATTGATCTGTCACACAAAATGTGTATTTCATGATGAATATAAACATACAGTCGTTACTTTACGAGTATACTTGTTTATTTATTGCATGGTGCATCCTGTTATGCGTACATTCTTAACCTTGTCTCATATATGTTGTACCCGTGAAGGTACGGGTATCCCATGCTTGTCGTAAGAGGCGACTAACGGGATCGGGTGGTCAGGCTGGTTGGCTGACACATGTTATCGGTTCCTAATTGCGCAGATCGATGCTCATGCTGTTGATCACTGGACTGTCTGGTCCAGACTCGCTTATTTCCAGACCGCCGCCACATAGCTGGAATATTGCTGAGTGCGGCGTAAAACTACACTCACTCACTCACATATGTTGACTTACTTTATTTTTCATTAGTCTGTATTCTTGTTTTATTTCAACATTAATCATATTCTGTATGAGTACTTTACCCTGCATCATGTTCTGTATACTGACTTTATCCTGCCCCATTATGTGCTGTTACTTACTTCAAGTCCACAATATCCTGTTTATACACAGTGTACCATTTATCATTCTCTTTATCCTACAACAAACACTTACTGTACCGTCCATCATTTTACATACCCTTACTTTATATTCCATTTATATCACCATTTAACACACTATAGAGTTAGTTCACCATTCAGCACACTGTGTAGTACGTTCACCATTCACTATACTATATAATTAGTTCACCATCCACCATACTGTATATTTAGTTCACCATTCACCATACTGTATAGTACATTCACCATTCACTTTACTGTATATTTAGTTCACCATTCACCACAATGTAGAGTTAGTTCACTATTCACCATACTGTATAATTAGTTCACCATCCACCATACTGTATAGTTAGTTCACCATTCACCATAATGTATAGTACATTCACCATTCACTTTACTGTATATTTAGTTCACCATTCACCACAATGTAGAGTTAGTTCACTATTCACCATACTGTATAATTAGTTCACCATCCACCATACTGTATATTTAGTTCACCATTCACCATAATGTATAGTACATTCACCATTCACTTTACTGTATATTTAGTTCACCATTCACCACAATGTAGAGTTAGTTCACTATTCACCATACTGTATATTTAGTTCACCATCCACCATACTGTATAGTTAGTTCACAATTCACCATACTGTATAATTAGTTCACCATCCACCATACTATATAGTTAGTTCACTATTCACAATACAGTAAAGTACGTTCACCATTCACTATACTGTATAATTAGTTCACCATCCACCATACTGTATAGTTAGTTCACTATTCACATTACAGTAAAGTACGTTCACCATTCACTATACTGTATATTTAGTTCATCATTCCCCACACTGTAGAGTTAGTTCACAATTCAACTTACTGTATAATTAGTTCACCATCCGCCATACTGTATAGTTAGTTCACCATCCACCATACTGTATAGTTAGTTCACTATTCACAATACAGTAAAGTACGTTCACCATTCACTATACTGTATATTTAGTTCACCATTCACCACACAGTAGAGTTAGTTCACCATTCACTATACTGTATAATTAGTTCACCATTCACCCCACTGTAGAGTTAGTTCACCATTCACTATACTGTATAATTAGTTCACCATTTACCACACTGTAGAGTTAGTTCACCATTCACTATATGTATAATTAGTTCACCACCCACCATTCTGTATAATTAGTTCACCATTCCCCACACTGTAGAGTTAGTTCACCATTCACTATACTGTATAATTAGTTCACCATTTACCACACTGTAGAGTCACTTCACCATGTACCACGCTGTATATTACTTTCACCATTCACTATACTGTATAATTAGTTCACCATTTACCACACTGTAGAGTCACTTCACCATGTACCACGCTGTATATTACTTTCACCATTCACTATACTGTATAATTAGTTCACCATTCACCACACTGTAGAGTTAGTTCACCATTCACTATACTGTATAATTAGTTCACCATTCACTACACTGTAGAGTTAGTTCACCATTCACTATACTGTATAATTAGTTCACCATTCACCACACTGTAGAGTTAGTTCACCATTCACTATACTGTATAATTAGTTCACCATGTACCCCACTGTAGAGTTAGTTCACCATTCACTATACTGTGTAATTAGTTCAACATTCACTACACTGTAGAGTCAGTTCACCATTCACTACACTGTACAGTTAGTTCACCATTCACTATACTTCATAATTAGTTCACCATTCACCACACTGTAGAGTTAGTTCACCATTCACTATACTGTATAATTAGTTCACCATGTACCCCACTGTAGAGTTAGTTCACCATTCACTATACTGTATAATTAGTTCACCATTCACTACCCTGTAGAGTTAGTTCACCATTCACTACACTGTACAGTTAGTTCACCATTCACTATACTGTATAATTAGTTCACCATTCCCCACACTATAGAGTCAGTTCACCATTCACTAAGCTGTATATTAATTTCACCATTCACTATACTGTATAATTAGTTCACCATTCACTAAGCTGTATATTAATTTCACCATTCACTATACTGTATAATTAGTTCACCATCATCAGGTGATGAAGAAGGGGCAAGGAGTAGCCCAGAAACGTCGTGTTATACAATAAAGAAGAAGTTGCCATCCATATACACTTCATCATATAAATTAGCTATTCCAATCTTCGTCTTACTGGAAACTTGCTGTACCATTCATCACAGTCCGTGCAGATACCCTACCAAGTATCCTACACTGATACATGAACGAAAGACGCAGTAAATGAATGAAAATATCCGGTTGTCTCCTCGATGTTGTCACTGACGTTCACGTAGCTGTGCTGATCCTGTATAAAGTGTTGTTCCTGAAGATGTTCTCAATAATATTCTTATATGTTGACTCTACTTCGCCGAAGACTTCCGAATTAACTGGATATTCGTGTTGTAGGCTATTCGGAGTTAGCTTGGTTTGAAGATCTCGTGACCAACCTCATACAATCATTGACCGTTCATATTTTTTTGCTAGGGGTGGGGTGGGGTGGGAGGTGGGGGTTGATGATGATATTTATGGAGAAGCATGTACAGTGTCAATGATCCCCGCTACGACTTATTTACAAAATAAGTGCCCCAACCTGCATGTCATATACACGTGCAAAATACCCCCATAATTTCTAAGCATAATTTTAAACATAATTTTATGTACAAAATTGCTGATTGCTGAATTGATGACCGCCCTAACTCCCCAGAGCAAAATGGGTGACACCCCTTAAAATCATCATCACCACAACCCAACCACCTCCCAGCCTAAAATGATGAACGGTCTCTAAACATGTATGAACTTCCTGATACGTTAACAAGATATTAACTTCGACCATCCCTCCGGCATATGATAAAGCTTATTTTTAATACTTTGTGGAACACTTCATTGTCAAGCCCTATGTGTGTTCCAGGAACACTGGCCACAGTCTCGTGTGCTTGTGGTTCAAATTAAGGAAGGGGCGGTGGGGTAGCCTAGTGGTTAAAGCGTTCGCTCGTCACGCCGAAGACCCGGGTTCGAATCCCCACATGGGTACAATGTGTGAAGCCCATTTCTGGTGTCCCCCGCCGTGATATTGCTGGAATATTGCTAAAAGCGGCGTAAAACCAAACTCAGTCAGTCAGTCAGTCAAATTAGGGAGGGTAAATTGGTGATTTGGTTAAATGCGTGGCGTGGTATTCTGGCTGCTCATTTCTTATTATGTCAACCCCTGGATTGGTCAGTCCAGACATATTTACTCAATATTGTAGAGAATGGAGTTAAACATCTCGCTGTAATATGTTTATAAGCAATCAAATGGAATGAGGAAAAGCGTCATAAATACCCTTGGTTGTTGAACATTGCATACATATACTCTTACAACAGCAGCATTTATGTTTGTATGAATGTGTGAGTGTGGAGGGGGAAGGGGGTGTGGGATGGAGAGGAGATTAAGGGCACACCTTTCAATATTGGGACATACTTTGTTGCATTCTAAATAACTCAATTCAAAAAGCAATTTGCCCCAATAATATACATTATGTTTCTTATCTTTTGCGTTTGTTATGCTTATTTTAAATGTTCCCAGGTGAATTATTTTCATATATTCTGCTGCAGGTACAGCAAACATGGCTGCGTCCCTCCCGTACTCCATTTCACACGCTGTAAGTATACATTTCAATTACTTGAACAATTATATTCCTTAAGTTTTCAGTCAGCCACAACCACATTACTATATTATATTGTGATGGAGTGAAGGACGGACGGACAGATCAATACAGAAGATGAATGCTTCTGATGCTGCTAGACCTACTCAGTAAAGTTCATTTGCCTTTAATCATTCGTTGCCTTGACGGATACAAATTGTACGCCAACTACTTATCAGTAAGGTATGGAAAATATGTGAAACAGTGTCGGCTTACATCCATAAATTCATCCCACGTTACTAAATTCTCCTCAACAAGGAACACGAAGAACTATGCCATCGACAGTGTATCTTTTGTGGGTTACAGGTTGTGTTTTAGATTTTATATGGCATGCTTGTCATCAGTGCCTTACGCTCGTGTTCCCATAAGCAAAATTTATAAATTTCCAGTTAGTATGTTTTGACTGAAATAATGAGATGCAACTCCTGAACTTTTCTGGCTGATTTTTCAACTATTGTGTTACTGGTCTACTGTCCGCTGTTTATTTTGTTTCATTTTCAAATTGGTAATCGTCTCCTATCAGTGGTTAAACGAACTATATGAAAAATATACATGCACGCACAAAATGGTATTACTGTGGTAGAATGAATATGTTATGAGGCAAGACTGACTGTACATATTAATTTGCCTGATATCAAATTTACAATGGTCCCAGCATTTTGAAAGATGACGAATCAACGCTAATGTCACTGCAAGTGATACTTTCCAAATATGGATATTTTCCTCACAAATGTTACGCCCGAGAACCAATTGGTATGGTATCTTAATCACGTGACTTATAGTGTGGTTACGTATCTCAACGAGGAAACTTCCGTTTTTCACCGGTGAGGAACTAACTACGATTGGTGGTAGGAAAACATAATCTCGCACAAACGAGGAAAACCTATTCCCCAAATTTGATAACGAGGAAACAAATTGTTTATGTTGCACTTGAATAGTAAAATGTTAGTAAAGATTGTGTGGTGTTTCATAGCCCTGGTTTGCGTATGATATGGTGTTTGGCCTTAAGTCTATCCCTTATTTCAAGTCTGATTCAATAAAAATAGATCGAATTGGCCGGATAGTTAGATGAGTAGATGGATAGAGAGATGGATGGTGACGGGTGGATGGATAATGAATGGAGGGATTGATGGAAAATAGACACAGGCAGATCAGTATAGATAGACAGATTCACAGGCTACTGGAAGAACATTTGCAGTAGGTCAGACATACTGCAATACAGGCAGTAAGACGGCAAACAGAAAACGGGATAGTAGACAATGAGTGAGTGAATGGGTTTGGTTTAACGCCGCTTTTAGCAATATTCCAGCAACATCACGGCCGGGAACAAGAGAAATAAGCTTCACACATTGTACCCATGTGGGGAATCGAACTCAGGTCTTCGGCGTGACGAGCGAACGCTTTAACCACTGGACTACTCCACCGTCCCTTGTAGACAATGAAAGTGAGCTACAACCAGGTTGTGAGACATTTAGACTTATTGCTGTGGCCCAGCAGTTCAAAATAGCGATTTGTTTCCGCGAACTATTCGTAATTCACAAACCTGGTCATTCCACAGGACATAATGGAAATTCCCGTCTTCTTAATAAAATGCTGTGCATTCTGATTTATGACTATTATCTAAAATTCATTGATTATGTTTTGGGAAAACCACCAATGATCTCATGAAAAGGGAGGACAAGATATTCAATTATTTGCACTAATTTCATAATAGTGACGAACTGCTCGTATCAGACAGGCTTGTGGGTATATTTCCTTCATATCAGAAGGGTGTGGAATATGGGGTAGGAATGTGGAGGCACATCGTAGCAGAAGGGATAGCTGAGGGTAGGCAGATCTTATCATTACCTGAAGTGGTAGCTAAGAATAGCCAGATATTACCCGGGAGGATAGCTGGGGATAGGCAGATAGTACAAGAAATTGTAGTTAGGAATAGGCACTACTACAAGTTGTAGCTGGGGACATGCAGATAGCACCAGAATGGGTAGCTGGGAATATGCTATAGTACCAGAAGGGGTGGCTGGGAATATGCATATAGAACCAGTAGCTGTAGCGAGGAATAGGCAGATAGTATCAGAAGTTGTAGCCGGGGACATGCAGATAGCACCAGAATGGGTAGCTGGGAATATGCTGTAGTACCAGGAGTGGTGGCTGGAAATATGCTATAGTACCAGGCAGGGTGGCTGGGAATATGCTGTAGTACCAGGAAGGGTGGCTGGGAATATGCTATCGTACCAAGAGGGGTAGCTGGGAATATGCTATAGTACCAGGAGTGGTGGCTGGGAATATGCTATAGTACCAGGAGGGGTGGCTGGGAATATGCTATAGTACCAGGAGGGGTGGCTGGGAATATGCATATAGAACCAGTAGCTTTAGCGAGGAGTAGGCAGATAGTACCAGGAGGTGTAGCTAGCGATAGGAAGATAGTACCAGAAGGGTTACCTAGGGGTAGCTAGGAGGAGGAAGATAGTACCAGAGGCTGTTGCTTACGATCGGAAGATAGTACAAGAAAGGGTAGCTTGGGAAAGGCAGGTGGAACAAGAATGTGTAGGTAGAAATAGGCAGATAGTACCAGAAGGGGTATCATATCGCAGAAATACACAGGACTAGCTTGGTGTGCAGATGTGCAGATTGGGTGTATTTCCCCTGCACAACGTCTACAAATAACACATCTCTTGTCTGTGGAGCAGTGAAGCTTCTCAGTTAATTGAAGAATAGGAGGGCATGAGTGACTGAATGATGATCAGGCATTCTTTTTGTATGGCACAATGACACAAAATATATCAGGTTACTTCTATAAACCACTCGGTTGTCTTATGTTGAATACTACTGTTGCAACCCCAACCCCAACCCCAACCAACCAACCAACCCCCAAACCCCCCAACCCCCAAAACTGAAGGCCAAACTCATTCAGAATTGATGCAAGGGTAGATGTGTGGATGCTTCTAGCAATATTCCACAACCTGATCCCAGGCTTCACACATTATACCTAAAAGTAGAATCGCGTGAAATGGCAACCCCTAGTCCCCAAGGCCTACCCACCGTCTTACGTTTGAGAACGTGTGGCCACATGTGTCTGGTTTCGTTACATACAAGGAAAGAGGACTGTTTTATAACGTCAACACCAGAGAATGCCCAGTCACGATTATCCACCGAGAAAGATTTTGTTTGGTGTAGAAGGCTAAGGGACGATGAAAACAGGAAGGATCCCTGCGTAATCATAATACCGGGATTTGACGAAACAGTCACATATTTATTCAGATTATAACAGTGAGTGGGTGAGTGAGTATGGTTTTCCAGCAATATCACGGCGGGGGACACCAGAAATGGGCTTCACACATTGTACCCATGTGGGGAATCGAACCCGGGTCTTCGGCGTGACGAGCGAACGCTTAACCACTGAGTTACCCCACCGCCCCAGATTATAACAGGGAAAGGACATCCTTATCCTTTTTTGTGAAACTTCTGCAGTCATCAATGATTCATACAATCCCCAAGGATTCTGTTTCGGCGGGAAATCGAGACTGGTTATTCTCTGGCATTGACGTTTTCGCGACCTTCACGACAAAGGCTTGTTACCTGATACAACTTCCTGGTTGGGTTGCTCTTAATAATATAAACTTACACCCGTTACACATAGCCCAGCAAACATTCACATGGAACACAATGGTTTGACAACTTCTGGAAGGAATGCTCTGACCCGGTAAGGCATTTTGTTCAGTATAGAACGAGGCGGTGGGGTGGCCTAGAGGTTAAAGCGTTCGCTCGTCACGCCGAAGTTCGATTCCCCACATGGGTACAATGTGTGAAGCCCATTTCTGCTGTCCCCCGCCGTGATATTACTGGAATATTGCTACCCACTCATTCACTCACTCTCCCAATCCGACACCTGATACTGATGGAATATTGCTAAAAGCTGCGTAAAACTAAACTCACTCACTCACTCACTCAGTATATAAGGTCGAAAACCCTGTCCAATCCCACATTGGAGGAATTCTGCGAAATATTTTAATCGATCTCATATGATAGTGAGAGATGAATGAAAGTGTGAAACCATACCCCCTTTACATGATGCCATGTATGACCCTTGGTTCATAGTCGAATGAACAAGATTGGACCATTTTCTGTTTCAGAAATTCACCAAGGGACCGTAATTTGTTAAACACATCGTATTGAATTAATTGTTATTTTATTCACCCTGCAACTTTCTCTCGTCATCATCTTAGTACAGTGGGTTAGTGGGTTAGTGGGTGAGTGTGTGTGTGAGTGAGTTAAGTTTTATGCCGCTATTAGCAATATTCCAGCAATATCACTGCAGGAGACACCAGAAATGGGCTTCACACGTCGCTCCTATCTTAGTACAATTGCACGCATACACATACGCACTCACGACCAAACATACAAACATACACACACTCACTCACTCACGAGTTTATACTTTCGCTTCTTCACAAGCCATGTCCTATGATATACGTTACATATCATGTACAAATTGAATGCACGGTCCTTTAACAAGTGTTTAGAAAAACCTAGCCAGGGTATACAATGACATCACATTCATGTCTCCCATGCATTTACTACACAATATGCACTGCTTTAGCTGACCCTGTCGGTGAACTTCCTCCTTGCGTTGATAAGATAATATGAACTGTGTACCGCTTGCTCATAACACTGGCAGTCGGTGGTAGTGGCACACACATATGATCTCCCTACTTTGGACGGGTTGTTTCAGATCACCCAGTATCCGTCTGAGCAGTACCTCAGCTATCATCAGTACCACCCGACCCCACAGGATTACTACAGAATGGAGTACATGAGAGAGAATGACTTTATGAACACTGACCCCCATAACAGTCTTGATGGTAAGTATTGGGTTTTCCATATGTGTCCACCTCTTGAAGGAAGTGTCAAATGGGCGGTTTCAAATGGTATGGGATAATGTTGAGCAAGGAACGATTGTTGAACTCTTGCTGACTAAGATCCACAACACGCTTGATATGACGCTAGCTCTGCTTGTGTCATCTGTACACATTGACAGGTAGAAGTGTAAACATAGCGGTAATTTCTAACGCACCCTTCACCATGGTTTTACAGTTAGTTTGAGCAATGGACCATGGTTAGTTATTGTCCAGTCATCTCAGAAATTGGTTGACGAATAGTATTGTTGCCAGCACTGATCCTCTACGACAGGGCAAATTAGATTCTGATTATCTGTCTGACAGCTTGGTGTGTGTATATATTCGCTAGGGTACACTCGCAGTTTAAGTGCTCAGATGAACAGTTTCCTGTACATTCAGATGTAATGAAACTGTGATATTTCCGGAAGTGTCTCTGGATGATCAACACAAGGTTCAAATCCTGGAGGAAGAGTTGGGCGGACACAAACATATTAATATAACAACGTATGATGTAAGAGATCACAAGTGTCATGAAGCATACAAAATACAGAAGGGATGTCCATAAGAAAACCTGAATCGGTCAAAAACCTGCATGGTTAACTTACAATAGATCCAATAGGATCCCATCTGTGCATGGCTCCACACAGTCAACGACCTTGATCTTCATGCCTGATCTGATTCAAATGAAAGTCCACAAACACGTCTGGCAACTGATGAATAGTGCTATTAATGTCCAATAAATATCCTCACTCTCATCACCAATACATACCTTTGCAAGCTTGTCATGGTTTTGTAATTCGGTTGCATGTAAGGTTTAAGTGTGCATGGTCGGTGCAGTTATAACAGATTGTTACAAACGTTGCCCTCACATATATCTTGAACCTTATCAGGCTGCTCGAAAGGTCAATGAGGAAAGGTCTTGAGGTCTTATCATCATCGCTGAATCTGTGACATTTTATGGATGTAGCTGATACTATTATGGGTTCTTGACTGCAATATATGGAAATAACCCTCCACACATACCATAAATTGTTTAATTGTTATATAATCATGGTCCTACAGCCGTGATGGTCCATTGTACAGGGCAGGATGATGACAGGGACGTATCAGAGTCACTGTGCGTCATGATATGCCGCATCAGTGGCCCATGGGATGTATCTATTTTGTATTGTATTCTCCCCGGGGAGTTGAAAATGCTATATAAATACATTAAAATGCTAAAGAAGTATACATGTAGGTTCTTGTCACGAGTTGATACGTGTAGTGCATACATGCATCTACATCAACGAAAGGTGTGTTTATGAAGGGTATTTCTTAGATTGAACTTTATTATGATAAAGTCTGGGAGATACACGTGCACGCCAGGTGTATAATTGATGTAATAATCTGTAAGATGTAGTACAACATGTTTAACTATGCCTCTTCTTTCCATTAACTTTCTGTCTGACAATGCAACACCACACCGTCAAATATACTGCAATTGTTGTCAAACCAGGAAGACAACACAGCATATCAGACACTAACACATATACCCAGACTTAGTACGTGGGGGGGAATGTCTGTAGGCCAGGCGCATTGCAATCTGTTTACTTGACTACGTGAAACTGCTCTGATACACCTGTTCCATAGTCACTAAAATAGGCGCTTTGTTACGTCCTGGCATATGGAATGCTGTTACGCTAGTGACCTTGGTGTACCCTTTATGTTCAAGTCTCCCATTAGTAACTGTAAGTACAAATGTATCGATTTATCATAACTGTCAATTCCAAAATCTTTCATTAACTTATAGATCAATGTTAACAGTATTGGAGTGTTTCGATAATCCATAAATTGTGTGTCGCTTATTTGCTTTATGAATAAATTAAAGGCCGTGTATTCTATTTTCAATTCTGGCGAGGGTGGTGTGGGTGTGGGTGTGGGTGTGGGTGTGGGTGTGGGTGTGGGGTGGGGTGGAGAGTAGGTGTTGGTGGGGTTTGAGTGGGGTGGGAGTGGGATTGGGTGGGTTGGGTTGTGAGTGGGGGTGGGGTGGGTTGTGAGTGGGGGTGGGGTAGACAGAGGATATGTTTAAGATTACGACTACTCCAAGACATTGTTTGAATGGAGGAGCAGTTTTTTTCTGAAGCGTATCATATTTTTACACGCCTTACCCCTCCTCCATCCACCCGCCATCTTGCCCACCCAATCCCCAGTTTCTACCTGACTGTACTAACATCTCCGTGGCTGTGACGTGTGATGTATTGAAAGCAGGAAAGGACTATCTCATCGACGAGCGGGAAAAACCTACATTGTCCAATTTATCAACGTAATAGTCCTATATATCGCTAGTGCATCCCGCGAATGGTTTAGTAATGGCGCCATACATATACCTTATGTGTTGATAAACTTAGGGATGTATGTGTTCCATGCATAATCTATTAATCTCTACTGTCGAATTCAGTATATGTCTATTCGATCAACTTATAATCTAGATAACCCAGTGCACCATAATGCATTTATCATATATATAATCCGTGTACCGTCACCCCACACATCACCTTGCCGTTGCAGGGATGATGGTAAAGGCGATGTAAAATGATACTCACTCACTCGTGTAAGCTCAGTTATTGAAAGACATTTAGAAGTTGGACGGACATGAATACATGGCAATTGTAATGGATAACAACTTGTTCTTTGTTCTTTATCACGACTTTTCATAACTAATTCTGGCTTCATCATCCACCCGATTAGCTCTGGAACGTCACGATATTGAATATAATCAAGCTCCTGTCCATAAAACGTGTCATGTATTCGTTTTAGGTCGGGTAAGCTAATTTATACAGATATTCATATACCTTTCATTTATATGCTTATACTATCCACTATGCAGTATGCACGGACATTCAACCTTGTGCATTTTTTTCTAACTAACATTGATCACGGCTCATGCATTATGTATCAACTGTAACATAACTATACTGGCGCTTAGAATGCATTGCATCATGCAGAATGCATTTATAACAACATAACACAGGGCGAGAGTGACTGGGCCTTGATGTTTGTAAGAGACTGATTATATCTTTCGCACAATACTTCAATGAAAGCAACAACAAAAACAACAACACAGTTCAATGTACGAATCCCTACCAACTGCTTATACCAGGTGTTCACGAAGAGGTGTTTTTCAAACAACATGCCCCACGTCTAGTGAACAATCTTGGTTTTCTAAAATTGGGATCGACAGTTTTCACAGTATTTCAGAAACGAATGATCAAAACAATTGCGTCCCTCTACCCACTTAGAAATGATCTGTTCTGAATAACACCGTACTAAATCAAAAGAATGCACCTGCAAAATTGGAGTTAGTGAGTGAGTTAGTGAGTGAGTTAAGATTTAAAGTCACATCGGCAATATTTAGCCATATCATGACTAAAACAAGTATATAATTCACTATAAATACAAGTAAATTATAAACACCTGTCATCGAAGGACAGTAAAACCAGTTAGAATGTCACAGTATCAAGGACTAAAACTAGCATTCTCTCTAAAATTGGAATTTGAAAATTGGATTTGACAACACAGTTACCAAGTTTTAGAATTACAAACTGTCATCGAACGACTTTGTTTGAAAGGAACAGACCACGAAAATGTTATCCGCATCTAAAACGTACCCGTTACTTGTGTGTTTCGTTTTAAGCTGCAATCAATCATAGGTGTATACTTTCTGTTGGAATAGGGTTAGAATTGGTCTTCAGCAACCCGTGTTTGCAGTAAGAGGCGACTAACGGGATCGTGTTGTCAGGCTCACTAATTTGGTTGACACATGTCATCGTATCCGAAGATCAATGCTCATGCTGTTGATCACTGGATTGTCTGGTCCAGACTCGATTATTTACAGAGCGCCGCCATATAGCTGGAATATTGCTGAGTGCGGCGTAAAACTGAACTCACTCAGTCCCTTAATTTTGGTGTATACCTTCTGTTGGCCAGCGGTTTACATACCATACATTTATATAAGTCGGTTCATCGAAACCATAACAAGAACCGCTGAAGACATTCCACTGCTTCTGCAATAAAAATGAATCAGGAAGTTAGATAGAGCAAAGAAGTATTGTGAATTGTTCAGCCGCCTTCTTTGATTGGCTGTTCGCCCATTGTCGCTGTGGGTTTGACATATATTTGGAGATTGTATACAACAAAACATACACTATTGGCGCTGATCCTATCTGCTTTTTAAACGGTAACTTGACCTAGAAGTTATGCGTGGTGTCTGCAGTGTGCAATTAGTTGGTCGGTTGTTTAAAGCCGCACACAGCAATATTCCAGCTGTATGGCGGCAGTCTGTGAATAATCGAGTCTGGACCAGACAATCCAGTGATCAACAGTATGAGCATCGATCTACGCAATTTGGACACGATGACATGTGTCAACCAAATCAGTGAGCCTGACCATCCGATCCCGTTAGTCGCCTCTTACGACAAGCATGGGTTGCGGAAGACCAATTCTAACCGGATCTTCACGGGTACAGTTTTCAACTAGTTACGGAAGCAGCTGATGTCTCATCTGTCGTATATTCTATGGTACAATGTCCTGTGTTAATGTGTTTTATAGATCCATGGGGTTACTAAAGGTGATCGGAAACTCCATTCCTAGAATGGATATATAGATATATCTTTACCAGAGATTTCTTATGGAATCGGAAAGGGTTTTGTCGTTTGTATTTATGGATACAGAAATAGTTTTGTTTGTTTCATTAAAACACCCCAACAACACTGATCGTGAACATACGAAGAGTGGATAGAACCCTCTGATCGTGGCATGCAATTTATTTAGCTTTCCTCACAATAATGTTAAAACTGAAATACAGTGGAACCGAGCTAAACACTTATCGATGACTGTATATAATACAGTGTCAAGGAAAACTTGATTGATTATATGTTGGCCATTTATATCCAAGTGTGTACACAACTGAAAAAGCCATCAACCTGAATCAAACATCCATATTATCAATAGTGTTACCGGCGGTGATTCACACTTTCATAAATGTTGTCACTTACATCATTCAGTGGTTCTGAAAGCAGTTGTATAGGAAAGGTAGTTCCAGAACATCCAACTTGTTCAGGAACGGTTGTGATTTAGCACTAATTCAACTCAAAGGATTAAGCATTAAACGACACTTTTCGGGCAATTTGGGATAAGATTACTCTTTCTAAAGAGATTGTAAGACACCTCACCGTTGCGCCCAATCCACAGCAGAAAACCATGTGTGGTTTGTGAGCTTATAATTTTGCCTATTGCCACACAACTGTGAGAAGGTGGAACGGAACAGTTTCAAAGCGTGATACATTGTCAGAGTTTCATGACAGTTCAATGATTTAACACCTGGTGTTTCATTCCTCGTCGTGAGATCTTATCAAACATATGGCTTACGTTGTACACGAAAACAAACAACAAATCACTCATAGACATGTTGTACGAGACAATTACTCATTAAACAGTGGCATATCGTGAAGTTACTCCCAGATAAGCTTCTATAAATTCAGTCGTTACTTATTGTGAATAACACAATCAAACTTGACAGCCCTCTAAACCAGTGACCACACAAATCGTCTCCGCCATATTGGATATGATCTGCGTAGGTGAGTGTACTTCCTTAGATAATCTGTATCCCTTAATTTGATTTGAAGAAACACACACCCCCTCAGATAACCCAAACTGAATTGACAAAAACAGCAGCAACACAGCAAGAATAATTTACAGCTGTAGTCCGATATTTGCATTCTTGAAAAAAATCTTCTTCCTGGTTGACAGTTGTAATCTGCAGCATCAGAGCGCTTGTCCACACAGGGTGTTATTTCATACATTTTGCCGGGTATAAGACGACCCAAGGAGGAGGAAAATCCTTGTATTTGTTTTCATTTCCTTGATGCTAGTTTGAGGAAAACTTGTGTGACACAACTCAAACAGAATTGCCTTTGTTTCTGTCCAAATGTTTCTGTTTCCTTGTGTACGTCTATCGACGTGTTTCATTCGACATTTGGACTATCAAACGGAAGGAATGGTGTATCATCATCGTGAATATTCAGTTGAAAACAAGGTATAACATGTTTCATTTTATTACGATCATATATTTTTCTTGCAAGTTTATCATAAAAGCCTGTCTACGAAGTGCAATAGCTTGTCATAACTGTTAATCCACCTCGAAGGTTAGCAGTCTGTGCTTAACGTCAGCCATGTACTTTACCAGCCTCGTTGAGTTTTCTGTACACGTTGTTGATTTGTAAGCAGGCATATTTATCTGTTAGTCCGAAACCTTTACAAGATATTTCATGTTGTATCATTTGTACAGGAGAAAAAAGGATTCTGATAGGGTGTTCTGTATATATCCTTACAATAACTGAAGCGTATTGAGTTATTTCATGGGGTTACACTCCAGCCTTATTATGTGATATATACTCCGTTTCAAATACCGGTGGTGTTTTGTTTTAGTGAATACCTTGGTCCATGCCAACATTGCTTGAGCAGTAGATTATCAATACTTGCCATGTTCTTATCACATGATCTAAGACTGTGGTCATTTTCCGTCCTCTCGTATTTGCTCGCGATATAGTACAGACTGTAATCTTGCAATAGGAACCACATGTCTTCCTTGAGGCTAGGTTAAGAGAACTAAGCACTAACTTCAAAACAGGCATTACGTGACACAAGAGAGTGCAAGGCATGTATGTGAGTACGATTAATAAAATAAAGTTCCTGTTTCGGATTACTGTCGTTCATTGTGAGTTAACATGTGTCGTACCACTATAATGTCAGTTTGCTTTTTGAAATTTCCTGTGGGGATATTAGGGTATTATTAGCTCCATGTCGTCTATGCTTTTCGAAGGAGTTAAGTAAACTAGGTCGGTGACTGAACGCGTGTTATTATCACTCGACACAATGAACCGAACTCTCAGGCTTTCATTGATACCTGTGATATTGCTGACCGTGATTTCTTAACAATATTCGCAATATTTGTAGCTGGATGATTCCGATAAGATACGCATATGTTTTTCTATATCTGAACTTAGTTGTCTCTTACCGCAGTTTTCGAAGAGGGAACTCATTTAACATATGTTGCTGTTGTTGCTGTTGGGTCAAGTTGTAAGGTGTGAAAAAATTGCTGTTCAACACTTTATATCCAAAGTAGATATATTCTAGACTTGTACAGATGTAAAATAGTACACACGCTTTATATTTTTATTTAAAGGAGACGGTAGGTTATCATAGTGGTTGGATCAGATGTGGAACCTATTTCATGTGGATATTACCGGGATATTGCTGAAAATATTAAATCGCAACCCTACGTACTCATCTGTATCAGATGGGGAAGGAGAACTAAATAGTTTTAGAAACCGTTGTCTGTTTTAAACCTAACGAGACACATCATGAACAATATATCTAAAATAAGGAAATAAAAATATTTATGTGGCCATAGATCACAATAAATATGATTAAATAAAATATGCGTGTGTGGATCATTGATACCCTTATTCACCTGGCATGTATGAACCATGCATAATGTTTGAACCATGTACAAAAACGAATGACCAATGCGTGAAGTCAAGTATGAATCGCTTTTGGACTCGTTGCGCGTTGTGTGATTATGATTGAAGTTTGCTTGAAGCAGGTATACAGCATACTTTATTCGTGCATGAACAATACCATCTGAACCATTTGCCATCTATTGCAGAAGAACTTCTTGGTGCTTTTGAAGGGACGGACTACACACCTCTCGCTCATCTCTCTTGGACAGACGTTGAAGACATGTCTCAACTCCCCCAATCTGAACTAATGTCTGAACGAGCTGACTTGGGTTCAGATGGTGTTGATGATAGCGGCTCAGGTAGGTACAAATAATCATGTTAATTGTCACTATCCACAACATTCAAGCACAGATAACAGTACATATGTGCTAAGGCATCTGTAAATATTTGAAACTTCTGGCGAATCATATATGAAAGTACATGAAAGAAACCGTAACATAATGTTTTTTATTCTGTTGGGCGAATAGTGAATGAATGATCATGAAATAACGTACCTCAATCTTAACTGAATTTCGCATATGCGGTGTTCGTCTTTATCATAGAGGAGTCGGGAGCCTAGTGGTTAAAGCATTCGCTTGTGACGCCGAAGCCCCGGGTTCGATTCCCCACATGGGTACAATGTGTGAAGCCCATTTCTGGTGTCCCCAACCTTGATATTGTTGCAATAGTACTAAAAGTGGTGTAAAACTTAATTCACTCACTCACTTTATCATAGAGAACACACTTCCTTGACTGTTTATTTAAAAATGTTCAGGAAGTAGACTTAGATAACAAACCCGTTCCTGTGCAAAAGGTTCAACGTTAAGCAAATTTTGTGTGGTTCCTTCCTCAGATTATAGCGATCCCGGCAGTTGCTACAGCGACACCTATGACAACACAGCCAGCATCATGAGCATAAAAGAAGACGAGAGCAACTTCTACAACGAACCTCTGTACCAGCCAGAGGAGTTGTTCCAATGTCCCCCACTAAGTCAAGTCTTCGCGTCGGATATGCCAAACCATGACCACGTCAGGCCACCACAGAAGAAAAAGCCGGGACGGAAAAAGGGCCAGAGTAAGTTCATGGGAAGAATACTTGTTGGACATGGAAATAGTTGAGATGCTTAGTGCTCTATCTGAGGATTATGTATATTTCTGACATGAATACTGTTTCATGTGACGTTTGTGACATGAATAGTGTTTCACGTGACGTTTGCGACATGAATACTGTTTCATGTGACGTTTGTGACATGAATACTGTTTCATGTGAGGTTTGTGACATGAATACTGTTTCATGTGACGTTTGTGATATGAATAGTATTACCGTGTCATGTGACGTTTGTGACATGAATACTGTTTCATGTGACGTTTGTGACATGAATACTGTTTCATGTTACGTTTGTGACATGAATACCGTTTCATGTGACGTTTGCGACATGAATACTGTTTCATGTGACGTTTGTGACATGAATACTGTTTCATGTGACGTTTGTGATATGAATAGTATTACCGTGTCATGTGAGGTTTGTGACATGAATACTGTTTCATGTGACGTTTGTGACATGAATACTGTTTCATGTTACGTTTGCGACATGAATACTGTTTCATGTGACGTTTTGTATGTAGAAATTAACATTCATAACGTCGAAACTTCTTAAATACCATATAATAATTCATATCACAGCAAAACAGCTGATACAGATTAAAGGATTCAAACGTGCAGGACTCAAACCAAATTGAAGTGTAAACAAAATGTATTGAGGATCAGTCGTTCTGGTAATAATTAGAATCTCAAAGAAATTATTATTGGTTAGTAAGGTGATAATGATAAATTAACAGGTTCTCAAGCACAGTGAGAACTATGTGTAAGTCTTGGCGTTATCTGAAAGCAACACAATGAGGAATTCCGGTCATTCATGTGTACCGTCGTAACACCCGGAAGCAAACGAACAGTTATTCTTCTATATAAAGCACGAGGTGACATGAAATCAACCTTGTGTAGGTCATACAGTAAAACATGGAATATTGGAGTAACTGAGTGACAATCGTTTTTCGTTGTTTTAGCAACGTTCGATCAAAGTGGTATTTATAGCAGATGACATCAAGATGATACCAGATACTGATTTTATACAGTGTACCAATGTGGAGAATCAAACCAAGACTTTCGGTTGACTAGCAAACGCTGTTACCACTGTGCTATATCAATACGGAAAACGTTATTGGTTTAAAGATAACATGTTAACTGTACTTATCCACATTGTACGAAAACGTAATCGTGTCAGAGCTTACAATGCAATCTGTAATTCATGTTACAGTGGAACCTTCTTGGATACTTTCTTATTTTGGAGAGTACTTCTTATGTTGGAGTGTTAAAGTTCAGAAAACAAATCTTGATTTCTATATATCCCAGATTCTATTAATGGATAAAACGATAACTTTTTTCTATAAAATACCACCCTATTATTCCGGATCTGTCATCAGAGGTAACTCGTGCGGATTAATAAGTGTCCGGATTAGTGAATGATGAGTAAACTGCAATATAGCATTGGTTTCATGCCACAGTTCCCAGGTATGTTCCGGGATTGCAGATTAACTTTTATAATTTCAGTGTACTTCGTATTGTTTGTTTGGCCTGCACAGTTATGACAACCGCAGGTCAAAATACAGGGCTGGATAACCCAATTATCAAAACGATATTCGTATGACATTGATAAGTTCAAATTCTGACTTGATTAGTTCAGACGTACGTGTTGCCTTTCCGGGGCAACTTTTGCGCCGGTGAGAATATTTTGCAAACCAGAATTTCGAGTTGCAGATCTGGTCTGAGTAATTCTATGTCACCGTTGCTCATGCTGTCACTCACAGGTTCTGTGATGTTTGAGCCGTCATGTTATAGCAATAGCATTGCTGACATAAATCGTTGAGAATTTTCAAGCACTCTCAATTTGAATATTTTTCCTTGCAGCTTCCAAAGTGCTTCATTTATGGGAGTTCATCAGAGACCTTCTCAAAGATCCCAAATGCCACGGTAACATCATCCAGTGGGAGAATAGAGAAGAGGGCGTCTTCAGAGTCGTCAAATCATCGGAAGTTGCAACTCTCTGGGGTCAGAAAAAAGAAGAACAAGAAGGAGATGACATATGAGAAGATGAGCAGGTCCATGAGGTGGGTACCCGATAGTGAACTAGTAATTCACTTTACTTTTCCATGAACTCTCGCTTAGGTCATTACAAGTATTCAATATTTACTGGGACTTCTAGCTGAACCTTATTTCTCACTTGCTCTCTGGTACACGAACCTTTGCATCTAATAAATAGAACAGATTGTTCGGGGGTGTATAATTATTGATCAAACTTCGACGAGTACCATGTATCTATGGTATGATTAGTGTTTGATGTATACTGAATCAATATTTTCTTTCATTTCATCAGGTATTCAAGAAAAGAAGGCTATTTCATCGACCTGCCTAAAAATAGTGGCTACCCTAAAAAAACTTTGCTTCCGTTTCGGACCCAAATCGACGGGTTGGCAGTGACAGTTTCCTGACACAATCGTGTGAATTCATAAACAGTCAAGAACCTCGACGCCATTGCGGTCATTAGTCATGAGGAATTGTTTTCATTGGATGAATGTGGCAAGAGACAAACTTGTGGACAATCTCATGATGCTTTGTGTTTGAAAGGCGGGTGCTAGTTGATGACATTCCTCAGTCAGCTGGGGACAGTAACCTTACACTGCTGACGATAACTGTTCAAGTCCAAGGTTGACGTTCGTCGAGGACTCATTTCATTTTACTCTTCCATTTTCCACACTGTGTACATAACGCACTGTCAGACATATTCATACTTTCATATTTTAATATTTTCATTTATATTTTCATAGTAAAAGCAGTCATGCTATGAACATCAAAACCAAAGTTTGACATCTGTGGAGGGGACATCTCCCTGTGTGTAAATAACAAAGAGATTCTGATGTACATTCTGTCGAACTGTCTCGTGTCACCTGTAATCATCCCATTATCATTGTTCAACGAAATATATATTTCTGTAATGTTGTTTGGATCTGAATGTATGTACATTTCATCTAGCCTGACAATGTTGGTCTAAAGCATTTCAAACAGAAAGGAAACTCAATCCTACTTGAGACAATGCAGGCATTGCCGTTCGATTGGTGTTATTCAGCATAAGTCATTCCATATTCCTGCTTTCCATACAGTTGCGCATCTTTGGTTATGGAACAGTTTTGTGCTATCCGACACTCGGTAGGAACATAACTGGAAATCATCAAAATCATGGATCAAAAGCTTTATGTAGTGCATATAAATTGAAACCCTTTCAATCCGGACGCAATAAGTTTCAGTCACATCGTACGGTTTAACAAGTTTCTGTAATTACGAATCACTGTTATGTTAATGATCTTTGGGACGTTCAGTAAGCTTATTCGGATAAGCGGGGTCTGTATTAAGGAGGTTGCAGTGTATACGGAACCAGTTTCAATATACGGCATACATTCAGCATTGCCTCGTGCATTCGATACAATTCGAAACTCGTTCTAATTTGACCGGAATGTTTCCATATTGTCAAGGCAGCACTGCACTAAGATGTTTAGATTAGATCTCCATGAGAACGCAATCACTATGAGAACCGGATCTCCTTGGAACATAAGTATGATATCATAAAAGTGCCTTATGTTTTGTTGGGTATGGTGAGGTTGTAACGGTGTACCCGTGATCTTGGTATTATTAGAGTATCTATGAATTTGCTCAACCTTCATTATGCAAACGACATACCACTTGCTCGACTTAAAACTGTTTTCTATTTTTTCTTAAAATAAATTTATTGTTTTATTACCGTTTATCATGGTTCGAGTTTTCTGTGCCTAACATGTTTCAATTTGTAAAATTTGTATTTTTTGCAACGCCGTAATAGTAATCTGCCTGCTATATGATGTCGGTATGTAAATAATCGAGTCTGGGCCAACTAATCCAGTGATTGACATCAGGAACATATCTACGCAATTGGGATACGATGACATGAAGCCAACCTGGCATCGGATCCAATAGTTGTCTTTGACGATAAGCATTAGGTTGGTAAAGATACAATTCCAACCCGTATCGTCACGGTGACAGAACCACGCTGGGGAGAATAGAGTTTTGATGTCATCATCAGTGTCGATAGGTTTCATCAACCTAGGGTCGTTGTTATGACTGACTGACTGACTGAGTTTGGTTTCACGCCGCTTTTAGCAATATTCCAGCAACATCACGGCGGGGGACACCAGAAATGGGCTTCACACATTGTACCCATGTGGGGATTCGAACCCGGGCCTTCGGCGTGACGAGCCAACGCTTTAACCATTAGGCTACCCCACCGCCCCGTTGTTATGAACGTACACTACTCCAAAACATGAGACAAGTTCTGTGTAAGACTTGGTGTAGCAACCATACAGGTGCCTATACGATGTTATTGCCAACAAGGTAATATATAAACCGCCTGGTATGCGCACATGTTGATTTTATCGATAGACAGTGCTGATAGGTTAGTTCCATCGGCGTGCGCATCCTTTTATTGCATGCACAACAAGTGACGTCATATATTGCTCGTGACGTCATAAACCAATTTATGTCATCGGAACTAAAGGTTTACGATTTTTCGTGTTCTTTGTCGTATGAAAACTGCGACATATGGACAGTAAACAACCCAACTATTCTGTTCCTAGGGAATATATGCTGATAGCAGCTCGCCAATACTGTGGGCTTACATAGCTATTTCACTTGGGACATAGCTTACGTAATCTCCGAAAGCTATATATCCAACAGCCAAAGTGGATTTAATCATGTAACGGTATTGATATCTGAGTGAATGCGTGGCTGTGGAGTTAGGTTCAACACCGATCAGAATAACAGATCTGTCATATCACCGTGTGTCAGCGGACTGTAGATTTGAATGCAAGCCCGCATATGTGACGGTCTAACATGTTTACGACCCTAGTAAAACACACAAGCACGGACCACGCTGAAATCGCTGGTATGCTTTAGGGGGGAAAGACCTGTACTCAAGTACGTCGTGTCAGTGTTGAAAAGAAATAAAATAAATATGATGAATTAGGACGTGGGTCGATCCAAATGATTTCCATGTGCACAATAAATCACTCCAGGTATTCGGTGGTCAGGATACTGGAAAGTTGATTTCGCCTTTATGCGTTGCTTAATGGGGAATGAAAGCATAGAAACATTACACTATTGCGCGTTCTTAGGAAAATATTAGTTTGAAATTACGATTATTTACAAATGATTAAAACAAACAGATAATAGCAGGTTTGCGATCCATCTTCATACTTCCAGGGAAGAATTTGTGGTCTAGGCTAACTGCCCCCCAGACAACTGCCCCCTGGCTATGTGACCCCCGTCCATTGTGCCCCCTTGGTTAATTGCCGCCCGGACAAGTGCCCCCATCATAACAAAAACACACAAACTGAAAGTAATAGTTTTAAATTTCTTCATATATTTAATATTTATAGAATATATAATACAATACAATGCAACATAGCAATCTTCAGATTCACTTTGAATTCGATAATGTGAATATTATCAAGTAACACAACAAAATATAAGATCACGTAGATCCATTTTCAGTCACGCTGTATACCACACACCACCGCACACGCACACTCGATGACCTCCCTCCCTCCTCAACTACAAATCACTTAGATATATTTGTATGCGTTTGATTTTTGTTCAACGTCTCTTAGGCGAGTGCATATATGTGCATTATATATGCATTCCTCCTTGATTTAATATTGGTTTGTCAGGGCCATGTAAACCGTTCGTGGGTTTACTGGAGGAAAGACAGATTCAAGAAATTGAGATTGAAGAAAAATCAAAAAGCTATAAATATGCGTTAGTGATTTGTATAACTGCGTGTATTGGGACTACGTCGATTCCTTTATCGATTAAAAAAGTCGCATGTTTATCCTAGCTTGTCCTGCTTATAGTACACAACAAACACGTCACAAGCTGTATCACGCACCAACATTTACAGATATCTGACTCTGAATACCCGAGGTCAACCCGAACTATTTGTCTGCAGATTAAAATAGACTTAGTGACAGACATGCACGAGCTTGTCCGTGCATCTTCCGGGTTTGTGGGACTAAAACGTTTATGGCATAATATTCTCGTTCAGGCATTCAGCGTCATTGTGAACTGAATGAGAAACTGCTCTCACAGTATTAATGGACACGGTCATTATGAGTATACCTCAGTTTACCTAGACAGGTCTTGTCACATGTACTTAATACAACTGGTGTCAGAATTTTACTTGCATTGCACTTCCTACAACTTTGCAAGGAGTTGTTAGTTCGGAGTCACATTTTCAAGGCCTTACCAGGTTTCCAAGTTTGCATATTTTGGTTTACAACACCTATGGCATCACCTAATTTTTCAAAGATTGGCAAAGGTTCTTTGTTTAGGGTTACAAACTTCAAGACACAGTTACGTTGGCAACTAGTTTTATGGGAAACATGCAGCGAATGCTACATAAGAGTAATGTTTGAAGCAAGTACCAAGTTAAAACAAATTCTTATGATACCGTAAGGAAATCGTTTGTCTCTTTCATTTTTGAGTGCGTGACTTTAATACGATTCTTTTATGAAGGGAATTTGAAGCATTGGTTTCGTACAATTTATAATGATCTTTTTGATAAGTCTTCTTTACGTATTGCAAGAATAATATGGTGGGTGTATATTATGTATAAATACTGATCGCGCCTTGTAAGCAACATTTTAAACTTATATATCCTGCCAAATGCAACAATAATATCTAATTCTACATCAGCGGTTTACTTTGGCTAGTCATACATATGTTGTAACATTAACATCTTTTCCTAGATATCATTGGCTTTGTATGATCCCCAGGGAGTTAAGATTGATAATACGACGTGCCGTTGAGATTGACATCCAGTGATCGAGGGAAAAACAAAGCGCCTTTGAGCAGCTGAGCTGGATATCGGCTATACAAATGTTAGTATGAATGTAAATGTAAATATCATCCCATTCTTGCAATATATATTGGAGGTCGCAAGTTACACACATTCTGACAAACACACAGTGTTAGATATCTGACAGCGTTTGAGGTTATAGTGATTTAAGACTTGTTGACTTAAGATGTACACGTTTCTTAAGCATTTCAAGATGATGCTTCATAACATGAGCTGAGAGTTCAGTTGAGTGGAGCTGTTGTGAAATTGGCTTTAACCTAGCGTCCATTTGTGATGAGAAGCGAAGAGTAGCCTAGTGGTTAAAGCGTTTGCTCGTCATGCAGTGTTCGAATCATCTCTCAGTGTCAATCCCATAGAGTGCAGTATGGCTGCATGGGTCAGAGCAGCGTACAATTAGAAGTGGTAAAGCGTGACGTTAAGAACTTCAGTTATGACAATAAAGAACGTAAAGATCGGGTTATTACAATGTATTCAACACTTAATGACAAGGTTTCACTGTTAGTTAGCTGTGAATCCCCGATAGAATGCAGAAATATTTATATTATGTTCACAAAATATGTTTGGCTTTAAATATCATAAAATGGGTATAATGATATGAGTTAATTAGTGAGTGAGCTTAGTTTACGCCACACTCAACGATATTCCAGCTATATGGCGGCGCTCTGTAAATCATCGAGTCTGGACCAGACAATCCAGTGATCAACAGCATGAGCATCGATCTGCGCAATTGGGAACCGATGACATATGTCAACCAAGTCAGCGAGCCTGACCACCCGATCCCGTTAGTCGTCTCTTACGACAAGCATGAATTACTGAAGGTTCATTCTAACCAGTACCCGGTTGTATAACGACATGAAATGTAACTTATGATGGAAATTACATTACGAAAATAACACAAAAGAGATTCTAGCACCACCCTCCTCATATACTCATATTTTCATAATCTATAACTCTCCAATGTGGAATAATGTTCAATGTCGTCTTTCGTCTCCTTGGGGCATGTATCAGTTGTTAAGGTAGTCTAACTCTAAAATGAACACTTAATCAATATTTCTGACAGTTTGATCATCCCACAAAAAACGCATGAATAAAATAACATTTGTAGCTCATGTAATTTTTCATTTTCGTTCAAGTTTGTCATTAAATTGTTATGGATATCCGGTTTCCGGCATGCTTAAACGTTGATACCGATATCTGATGCATCTGAACAACGATATAAATTACATCGACCACACTCATTCAGAAAGTCGCTTTGGAAGAGGTTTTGCCGACACTTAGAACATGTTTACAATGTTTGATATGTTCTAATGCCTAAAATTTAAAATTTGTGGGGCTTGACATTTAGTTTCGACTGCGACTGTTAAAAGTGTTGTGATACCTGTGAGAAAATATATCCGAATTGGTTAATCAACGAATAGAAGTGAGGTGGACTTAGAATACAGCCTTGACGAATACCACTAACGCAAACAAAATATTCGGAAATGCTGACTTTTGAACTGCTGTTTTTTATCACATATCTGTATCACAGGTATATGCATATCAGTGAATTATATTCAGCATTTCGCTTTGATATGTATTGTGTAGCTAACACAAACCATAAAATGTCTTTTTTTTATCGAACCAAAAGCTTCATGGAAATTGAATAATAAACAATAGCATATACCCCTGAATTGTAACAAATATTTCTTGATTAGTGATTGTAGTGTGAAACTATGACAGGCTAGAAATGCCTTTTGCGAAATACTGCTTGACACTTGGGTATTATTAAACTTACGTACGAATTCTTTATGGTCATTTTTGAAAATTAATGATGATGTCCATTAAAGTAACTTCATCTACCGTTATTCAAATAATTTG